AAAATGTTGTGTTTCCTTTCTTCTCTTTTCAGCATGGAATAAACCTTTACTTGTTCCTTTGCAGCCTATGCATGCTGACCCAGCTCCCTACTGATATACTGTACACTGTACTGTGCAGCACTATGGTGCAGATTTCTCACATCTCTTACCTGGGTTAAATTCCACACTTCTGTGTCTTCTTTGTGGAGTTGTCATGTTATCTCAATGACCATGAGAGTTTACTCTGCTGTGGGTAGTAGTTGTCTCTAAATTGTCCCTTTGTGATTGCGCAATCCCTGCCTTATGGTTCATGCTTCAGGGATAGACCTCTGGTTGCTGTGACCCTTACCAGCACTAAGCAATGGATGCTTTAAAGTTCAAAAACTGCAAACTACAGACATGATTTTCCAACTAACTGACCAGCAGAAGATGAGAGGGCAAACAATGAGACGCAAGGCATTGTAGAAATTAGGGGCAGAACGGTGGCTGGTTCACAGAGGAGAGCTTGTCGAGGAGAAGCTAGGCTGAGTAAATACTAAGCAAATCATTAAAGTCTGGACCAGGACCTGAGCAGTGCAGGTGGTTAAGAAAGGGCAGATGCTGTTAAGTGTTTAGGAAAGGATGACAGGAGCATGTAAGGGAAGAAATACTTGTCCATTTCAATCCATCTTGGAGATCTATCATTAATATCTGACAATCAAACATGTAAATATAAAGTATACAGAACTCTTGTAAGACTGTTAAATTAGTAAGTAACGTAAGAGAGTTAGTACACTATTACTTGTATGTAACATACACATGACCTGTTTCAAGAAATAAATCTGTTAATTAAATTGAATCATTACTTTGAAATTGCAGATCATTTTTCACTTCTTGTTAGTATGATTCATGTAAAAAAGATAAAATATTAAATTGGATGGGGGTTTGTTTTAGATTTTTTATCTAAAATCTTTTTTAGATTAGATTTAATCTAAATCTTTTTAATAAGTATTTTTATAATTGCCTATTTTAATGGGTAGGAAAGTTCATATTTCCTACTGCTGATTTACAAGCCTCTAATTACCAGTGCAGAAGCAGCTTGAACTTCACATACTGTACATTACTTTCATGCTCTGATGTCAATTCATATGTATTAAAATTATCCTCATGTAGAAAGACCCAACACTACACACTGAAAACAACTACCAAAAAATAATCTGACCGTATTTCTTTGTTTCTGATCGATCTCCAATATGTTTATTGTGTTACTATTAAGAGTGCTTTCTTTTTCAAAGGGGTTGTTCAAACAGTTGCGTGTTCTACACATCTCACTTCTATAAACTCAACTCTACAAAGTTAGAGTAGCTGTCAGGATTTGGAGACTTCTTCTACAATGTGTTTTAGGGCATCCATTATGCAAGGCAAGGCTATGCAGCCTGAGAGACCTAAGAACATCTTTGTTATCAATTTGCTTATGGCCTATATATATCCAAAGTACAAAGTGATGTGAAAACATATACCCTATTGTATGTACAGTGCCTTGGAGAAGTGTTCAGACACTTGCACAGTTTTCACATTTTGTTACAGCACTTTACAGCTTGCAACAGTGATCACAGGAAACCATGAGGACTACCCAATTTTCTAATGCTTTATCGAGTACAGTTTCAAAGGGGACCTGAAGCCTATCCCTGCAAGCATTCATGGGAAATTTAAAGTAGCAATGAAGATTTTCTATGCAATATATACACAACTTACTTCAAAACAAAAAACTAATGTGAAAATGTAAATAGATAATATGAACTTGAATCTAAAAATATGAGCAATGTGCCAAGAATAGGCAAAAATTGCACCAAGGCAGTGTGTAAACAGTACATGACATACTGCAACTGGTCTAAAAGACTTTTCTTATGACTTCCTCAAATTCTTGCCCCACTGAATTAGCTCAATTGTAATGACGAGACATGGGTGCATGTGTAGCAAAAATACAATCTTTGCTAATATATTTCTATACTGAAATTTATGTAAATACTTTAAAGGAACAAGCAAAGGTTTATGCCATGTTGAAAAGAGAAGAAAAGTAAATTATTTAACTGAAAATGCAATGATTACTTCTGAATGTTTGTTACTTTTACCAGCTTTTCTTCAAGGTAATGGCTTCTCATTTCCTCAAACTTAATGGTCAAATTATTCATTTTTACTGTACACGTGTTTGAAATACTGATCACAAAAAAACTGTTCAAAATATAAAACTCTGAACCACAGGTCCAGTGAAGATGGAACATGTAGTTTATGTAGGAACAAATTTAGAAAAATGGTAGTTATATGTTTCAATAAAAACTTAGATGCTAGATAAGTTTCATTAAAAACTTTCATGGAATAAGATATACTTATCTATTGTGAATTACTATAAGACTCATACTAACATTTGAAATGAAACTTTTATGTCATTATGTGGGCCTTACAAAGTATCCAAAGACAATTACGAAGACATTTCACCTCCTACCTGAAAGAAATTTACTTTTAAAGTTTGTAGTTTAAAAGCAGATATGTTACAAGCTGAAGAACTGCAGCAGTTACTAGAACATGTAGAATGAAAAGAGAGGGAATCATATGAAGACAAGGAAAGAATCACTTGCAAAAAGGACATCAGAAAAGTGGATATAAGCTTTGATCAGCTTGGAAACTGATATCAGCAATGCATGGGGGAGAACTTTTCTGCACGACTGTACATCAAAAAGCATTGCATGACAAATGATCAAAGACCACAACTTTTTAGAAGGTAGCATATACTCAGGGTTCACCCAGCAATCTCACCCAGTGCATAGCAGATACTGATTTAAGGTCAGAAACTTTGTACATGGCATTGTTTATGCTTTGTCACTGTCTTAACTTTAACAATTGTATTACAAATATTAAATCAGAGTAAAACAAACTATTCGGTACCTGCCAGCTGCAAAGCACAAACCCTCAGCTTGTGTTTAGTTTCCAGTGGGTAATGAAAGGCTAGATTTGTATTTGGTAATTGTGGTACTGGATGAGTGATCTATCGGGCCCTCCAATTCATTTGTGACACCATGAGTGTCAAGATCAAAGTACACTCCCTTCACAGTCTGCAGGGGAACCCGTTCACACTTTTGCACACACTCTCCTCCGATGTTCTCAGCCCTCTCATTGGGGTACCAGTAAACTATTCTGAATTCACCTTGCCTAGTGATGTCATAATGTGTTGGACGGAGGTAAAGTCTCTGGTGTTTTTAGAAGAACCTTAACAAGAAGATTCACTTTGCTTAACTGTAATCTGTTTTCTTCTTTTCTGTGTCTCAAGGGTGTCCTCTCAGATGGAATGTGCCTAATGTAACATTGTTATTAAAATGTTCACGATTCCAAAGTTACTGTGCCGTGTATCACACAGGGCAAAAAGATGGAAAGGTTCTGGTGACATTTACACTGGCTTCCAGGGCTTTGAAAATCAGAGGATCATATACCTGTAGTGCAACTATAAGTTATTTCTGGTGAAGATGTGATAAATGAGCTGTATGTGTTGAAAGGAATCATCTCATGTTAGAAGTGCGAACATGGTCACCAGCTGACAGAGTAGCAGACGAAGAGTTGTAGTGTGAACAGAGACCACGCTGTGACCTTTTAATCAACCTTTTCAAGAATTGCCTGAAGCTCCAATACTGAAGATTTGGATTCTGCTGTAATCTTGCTATCATAATGAAGCAAATAAATATTTATTTAGTAAATGTCCACCATAAACCAGTATAAAAAGCTGAAGACGCAGCAGTATTAGTATCTAACTGGTTAAAAAAGCATGAAAAAGCTAAATCTTGTTGAGGATGCAGGAAGACACAGCACAGTTCAGAAAAGTTCTCATTTGTTTGACAATAAGGCAATTTTCTGGAGAACATCCAAGAAAGCATACACAATGTGCATCCTCCTACAGTGCTCTGAATTCAAGCATTTACAGGAAGGTTTAAACTTAGACTGTAGCTATAATATTTTGTTCAGATAAAATTGGCATTGTTTCTCTACTTTGTTCCTGTGCTGCTTTATTGATGACAGTTATTATTTCAAATAAAATTAAATATATTAATAGATATACAGTATTACTAGATATTCAGAAGACACTTGAATACATTTATGATAGAGATTTCGTTTAAATATTGGCTCCAATCATTTTATATACTGTAGGATGTGCAGATTTCATAGGATATTTCAGATTGTTTTTAAATCACAGTTGATCTGTATAGACTTGTAGGATTTCTCAATGAATTCAGTTTCTATATTCCAGCACATCTCTGCATTTTTCACATTTCACTTTCTGGAAATCTTTCTTGATAAAGTATTCAATTGCACTCTTATGGTGAATGAATCAGTGTGATGCCCTTTAGATTAGTTGTTAAAAAACTAAACAATGCCTGAAAAATCTATACAATTGCCATCTTATGCACAAAACAAAGAAATAATTGGCTGCTCAGATTGCAGCACATATTACTAATTACTAAGGGTTTGGTAACTTCTTTCTCTGTTGTTAAATGCTTATTATGTTTTATATAGCTTAGGTCTAATGACTATATTCACCTAATCAGTCTGTTAATTGAAATAGTCATGAACAGTTCTTATTCACAGTTCTAATGCCAGTTAAAGCACAAAGCCTTGAGTTTCTTTCTCATTTTGAAATTATAGTCTTTATGTGTCATGAATTAATAGCACCAACAGAAGATTTTTCTTTGCTTTCATTGAAACTAATGGGCCATGAACTTGTTAGAAGATGTTAGAACATGAAATCAGGATTTATTACCCTAATCTCCTAATTGTGAGAACACTGTTTGTTATTATTCTCTTTTTGGGGTTCTTTCTTTGACATTAAGTGTCTTGATATCAGTACTTCAGCAGCATCATTCATCTGTGCTCTTTGTTGACAGCATTCTCTGTTCTCCAGAAACCTCAAAGAGTTATCTTTTTCATTTCTGTAATAGAAATGCACCTTTTTGAATTATTATTACTCTCTCTCTTTTGCTTTCCATTCTATAATGTAGTGAGTCAAGGTGGAATGGCTGCAGACATTTGTCCAGATCCTGGAATTCCGGAGAATGGGAAAAGAATAGGTTCAGATTTCCAGTGCGTATATGACTAGTTCCTTTTTATCCTTTTTTGTTCTCAATATGTGCCATTGTTGAGGATTCTACATGTTATTTCAATCAGAACAATACCTGCTGTGATACTTAGGAATATTTTAACCCCCTACTGATATACCATCACTATCAAAAACCTCAAAGCTACCCACTCTATAGGTGATATCTTAAGCAAAACAGCTGAGAAAAATCATTTTCATAATCTCAATGTTCATTAATTGAATGATAGAAAGGAACTTTTCTCCATTTAGTTATTGTGCAGTTCATTTAAATACAATTAAAATACAATATGTAGTATATATTTTCCTACAATATTTAATTCCAATGAGGCATAAGCATACTTATAGGTTAACACTTTTTTTTTTCAGAAACCCTTTGCCTATAAAATCTGATTTGCTCTTGCCCTTATAATGTTAACAGAAAATGTCATAAAAAATCTTATGCAGGCATTGAAGAATACAGTTGAAGGCACATTTTGTAGCAGGTTTAACGCTGGTGGATGCTTGTTTATGATTCCCACAGGGTGGGTGCCAGTATACAGTTCTCATGTGATGACAGCTATGTGCTTCAGGGATCAAAGAGCATCACTTGCCAGAGAGTGACAGAGACATTGGCTGCATGGAGTGACCACAGGCCAATCTGTCGTGGTAAGTGTGAATCTGAGGACATCCCACATCCAGACACTTACTGTAAGGACTTTGTCAAACTGTGTTAATGGAGATATGCTGATAACGGAAAGGGTGGAACTGAGGAGCTGGTGGGAATGATTTTCTGTGCTTCGTTGGCATCTAATGATTTTCTTGTGCAGAGAGCTGAATTATGATGTTCAGAACGGCTATTCCGAGTATATCTTTACTTAAGAATCTAATAAACAAAGACGGATATGATGGATATGAATAACCATTTTAGTGACACCAAGAAGTGCAATTACAATCAATATATTAAAAAAATAAATTTCCAATAAAATATCTCACTTTGAAAAAGATGCAGAGGCAATAGGATTTCTGATTACATTAATGCAAATGAAACAAGGCATTATGTCAGACTTTTAAAAGAAACCAAGTAACCATGTTTGACAGTTTCTTTGTAGAATTCCTATAGATCTTTGATTGATCCAGACCATTTTTTAATTAGTTGGTCCCTGATAAATAACATAACCTAAAGCAAGTGGCTCATAACTCTTTAGCCTACATCAGTTAATAACCACTGCAGTATCTAACACCCAGTTTGAATTAAAATGTGCTTAAACATAGCTTGTTATTTAAAGTTAATTTTACAATGTGTGTGTGTTAAACCTGCAAATGATGTATGTGCTCTGTTTCACATTTTCGGTGCTCATTTAGAAAGCTCTGATTCTAAAGTAATTAATGGACTTTTAGTCATTTGGGGTTTCATGATTTAAAACGTTCAATAATTTGCACTGAGACTCATTCCTGACACCACTTGTACATTTCAAGGCTTTAAATTTGTAAAAGCCTATTCTGTTTCTGATTGCTAAGATGTACTTTAGTTAATTAGATTAAGACGGTTAAATGCTTTGTTATTTCACTACTTCAGGAGGTGGTTGTATTTTCCAGCTTAACATTACAGGCAAAATCTGTGTGAATTGAACTACACAGTTGGCATAAAAATGTCAAATACCACAATTAGGCATTAATAATCCAATGTATTCCTCCAAAGAACCATTAGTTAACATGATAAAGATCACGAACAAACCCACGTTTATATAAGGTAATTACCTAAAGTTCGGATGTTTAGCGCATTCTTTTTAAGAATAATAAATCAATAACACAATTTTGCTCCTGCACAGAAACACACCAGCACGGTGTCAATACATGAGGTTTACGATGAACATCGGGTAGGCGTGACAACAGTTCAATCAGACTCAGCTGTCCTAAATTGTCATCTTTTCTGACGTCATTTACCTCATCATCCCCTGTACAGCCGCCCTTGGGTCACCCCTCACTTTGCAGGGGGGTCCCAGCCTCCTCGTCTCATGGCCCACAGTCTAGTGAGCTAAGCCTGATTGATTGTGACTAAAACATTTCAAGAAACCTCTCAATACCGTTCGATACGCTTAATTAATTCTTAATTCTTGGGTGTCGTCATTCCTAGTGAAAATAATGCTCTAATTTGTTGTTCCTACTTTTAATAGCAAGGACATGTGGCTCCAACTTAAGAGGACCAAAAGGTTTTATCACATCCCCCAACTACCCGGTTCAGTATGAGAACAATGCGCACTGTGTCTGGGTGATCACTGCCAGTGATTCAGAGAAGGTGAGTTGGCTTGTTTTGTTCCTAACTTAACGTACAGCGCCAGGCAGTTTTATCCTGGGCGCATGTGATTAAGTGAGTTTAACCTTAACTTAGAAAGTTTTGTTAATGGCTTTAAGTGCACAGATTCAAATAATGGTATTCTGATTTCGGACACACCAAGCAAATCCTTTCACAGTCAGTTAAAGGTTTCGAATAATAACTATCATAAAAAAAAATGTGCTGCACTTTTGAAAGACTTCAGGAAAGCTGGAAAGGTGAAGGCCGTGGCTGAAGGCTTTTTGATTCTTCAGACTGTACACTTTTTTTTCCCCGTTTTGAATTTTCTAAGAGCAATGTTTTTAATCTTGAAATAAGGAATCCAGACTTCAGTTGACCTATCCTTTTATTAGTAAACATGAAACTCAATAAGCAGGATGAAAGATGAAGGCTGTTACATAATTTCTTAACATTGGTTATTAGATGAACAAGTCTTAGTAATATATTATGAGTCAAATCTATGACTTTAGAGGGTTAGAAAGCCTTTATTGGGTAATTACTTTAGTGATTCTTGACTCTGGAGTTCTGCTGAAAAAGCTTATACAGCGAGTATATTCTTCATATGATATGTGCCTTACTGTATATTGGCCTGATAGTTATAAGTTGCTACTATGAGCTTCTTAATTAAGGATTTGCATGTCATCCAATTTGTAGGTGTAAAAATGAGAATCAGTAAGCCATTCATTTCTTTACAAGCCCTAATTGTAAAATCAATGTTAAATAAATTACCAGCACTATGAAGTGCGTAACACAGTGACATTAACATTACCAAAGGAGGCCTCATTTATTAAGCTTTGTTATTCTACTCTTTTAGGTAATTACTATAAACAAAACATAAAGAATGAGGGTCTTGTATTTAAAATTGAAATCTGTCAAAAAGTTGTAATCATGGATATTGTATTGCCTGTTGCTTCTTAAAGGATACGCAGCATTTATAGTTTTACACCAAGCCACAACAAGAGGTTAAACTGTATGCAGAACTTCTGAAGGTCCAGTAATTTCTTATGTACATTAGTAGTTTTTCAAACTGCATTGTTATTTAAATGATTATATATAAATTATATTATTCCGTATTATATTTCTTATATCTAATAAGATGCTATTATACAGTATACTGTACAGTATATTTCAAAATTGAATTAAATTCCTATTTTGTTGTATGTTTGGTTTGGAATAATTTAATTTTAAGCAACATGACTTACTGCCACAACCCCTGTATCTCATGAGGAAAATGAGGACCTGTAAGTGCTCTTCTCTGACACGCCATTCATCATTTCATATTCTGAGAGAGTGAGCAGTAACTAAATGTGCTCTGTGTGTCTCTTGCCGACGTCACCTCCAGCTCGCAGGCTCCTGGCTAGTCCCAGGGACTGATGACGCATGGGGAGGCAAGCATACTCTGGATGTATGACAGTAGTGTGGAAGAGTGGTGAGGACTTTGGGCCCATAACTAGCATTTCTGCTGTACCTTTGAGGTACAGGTACTGTAATCCACTCGAATTGTAAAGTGCCTTATCACAAATGTAAGTCACTTTGGATGAAATAATCAGGCAAAGAAATAAAAAAATATACAGTATATACACTCAGCAGTGCTTAGGCTCAGCCCAGGTGTGAATCAGTGACATCTGGAGTACATAGATCAACCTGCTGTCCAAGAGAGAGCTTTTACTGACTGGGCCACTTACTGTATCTACCTCTGAAGTTCTAATTTTGGAATTTCTGGGGCCTTCTGCTCTGTTGGTTGTTAGAACATGATAATAGTGTGATGGAAATATTTTATTTGGAATATTGGAATGCAAGGCAGAATTGCATTTGGGAAAGACATAGCAAAGACATTTAGACATAAGAGAACACTATATAAAAAATAATGCAGGCTACTTCAGCTTCTGATTAAATTCAGCGTGGAAAAAAATGGACTGACAGTTCAGCTCTCATGAGATGTTAGGAAAGTAAAAGAGGAAAAGAAAAGCTGTGTGATAAAACTACCTAGGAAAACCTAATCCTTTTTCAATTATTTTTGCAAGCAAATGCATCTATTCAGTCTTTCGCAATCAACCAAGATGTGGCCAAAGGTGTTTCACCAAAGGGTAGAACATAAGGGCAGAAGAACACTCCTTTGTAACACCTTTCTATAGAGCATACATACCTGTACTCTGTTTCTCTGCCTGTTGGTTGTCATGGACAGCACTAGGTGTTGCTGGCTCTTAAGGCTTTTGTCATAATGTTGCTGAACATCTTTATCAGCTTTATGCAGAGACATGTTTTCAAAAGCACCGTTGTTTTGCTGATGGCAACTGTCGATGCTTAACATTACTTCCCATTACACTGTGAGCCATGCCAGAATGAAACTTCTGCAGAAAGGAAGAAGAAACAACTTTGAACATTTCTACCACGTTTGTTGCTTAGGAGTAGAGTTCTGACATAAGGGAATATAGAAATTTCTGATGTTGATTCAAAGTTCTTTTCATTTCAGATGCAACTGAAAGAAAGGATAATGTTCTTGTTTTTATCTTGATTTCATGAGTGATTAATAGGATGATCATTGAGTTTAATGTTAATAAAGAAAGAAAACGCTTGTTTAAGATCTTAAATACGAAATGAAGATAATTCATTATCTCTTTTTGCCCAACTGGCATATCTTTTTGAGGATCAGTCTGAATTTAATGCATCATCTGATTATTTATCTCATGTTTTGAAACTTTAATTGAGATAAGAATCTTTGCAAATGATTAAAGAGTGTTCTAAATTTTAAAGTAACCTCCAGTTGTAAAGCAGTAGAAACATAAATTTTGGAGATAATGTTGATCTTCTGAAAAACACCCAAAGATTGCATTTTTAAATCTTGAGGTTATATTATTGTCGGACATGTTAACATAATGTTTCATAAAGGGACTGGAACAAACTTAATTCAGATCTTCGAAGTATGAATGAATTATCGTGCTAAAATATACAAGCACTCTTCTGATGAAATCTGTTAAGCACATTTGGTGTGGAAAGATATTTTTCAAACTTCATTAATGCTTAATAAAGAGGTGTGAAAGAAGATGTGTTTCTTAAATTGGCTACTATAGTTTTTATAATACTATAGGCTCAGTATTGATCTCAGTGGAATGAAAGATCTTGTCTGAAAACCAGATAAGTTCTTGAATAGTTCATGTCTCCTGCTGTACGTATATTTATGGACACTTTTTGATTTATTATCATATGGCAGGCCAGGCTTTATCATGAGCTTTGTACTAGAGGGAAATAAATAAATGCACATAGTTCTGTCTTCCGAATATTGATATTTGTGAACCATAGCTTTAATAGCGTATTTAAACAGATCCTCAGCACAGCCTGGATTGAAAGTGCAGCACCCCAGAGCATACACAGAAAGACTAGCTGATCTGTCACTAGCTCCAGTGATGCTACTGTACTTCAGGTGAATGGTGAAAACACTTGAATCTCTTTCCTATTTTTTTTTGTTTTACTTCCACATTTTTCATTATGGTTACATATTTTCTATAGTTGTAGAAGATTCTTGTTCTGCCTTTTCCCCTCAATGTTTTGAAAAGACTTTAGGCCTGCAGTAAAACTGTATGCGAACGATCTATAAGCTTGTGATTACTGATATTAAAGGCTCTGCGCCTGTGGCTGGAAGGCTGCCAGTTAGTATCCCGCAGCCGGTAGAGGAATCCTACTCCGTTGGGCCCCTGAGAAAGGCCCTTCACCCCAACTGCTCCAGGGGCGCCGTATAAATGGCTGACCCTGCGCTCTTACCCCAAGCTTCTCTCCCAGTCTGTGTGTCTCATGGAGAGCAAGCTGGGTTCTGCGAAAAGACAAATTCCTAATACAAGACATTGTATATGGCCAGTAAAGTGATCTGATTGGACTTTAGCCAGGATTGTTTTTTTTTGTTTTTTAATAAACCCTCTGTATGAAATGTAAGTGTGAATGTGTTATTACCTGGAATAGGACACCTCCAGATAAAATCAGGATACTGCTGTAAGTGACGATGCAGGACTGATAGATAGTGCTTTTCCCTCTGCACCAGGATTTCTAAACCAACACTGTGCTGTATGAGGTACTGTCCTCTGAATGAGACATTGAACCAAGGCTACTTGCTCATTAAAAGTTCAATGGCATCTTTGAAAAAAGAAGGCAGGGCAAGGCTAGAGTTCTGGCTTTCTTGAAGCCCCCCCTGGTGTTGGGTGTTGAGTGGAAGGCAGGTTATGAATATAATGCCAGCTGTGGGGTTGTTATACTTGATAGTGAAGGGACGTGTTTTAAAGGTAAAGCATCTGAAAAACACAAAATACAAATAATAATAATGATGGTCATTTTTCATTTTTCCTTACCTGATAATGCCTTGGGAAATATTAGCAAAAGTTTCCAGAATATCTTCAATCAGGTACTAATCAGATGTCTCAGCGGAGATGGTCTTAACCCACAGGCTAAGCTGCTAATTAGTCCTCAGATTCCTCTTGCTCCTGATGACAGTCTACTGATTTCCTCCTCTATATGGTAGGAGTAATGTCACAATGCAGGATTAAATAAGTGAGGCAGCATGGTGCTGCAGTGGTAAGCATTGCTGACTGACAGAGCTGAGGCCCAGGTTCAATTCTGGACATGGGGGATAAGTGTGTGGGGTGTGCGTGTTCTCCCTCTGTACATGTGGGTTTCCTCCCCCAGCCCAAAGGCATACTGTTAAGTGGCTTCTGTGAAGACTGGCCCTGGTGTGATTGTGTGTGTGGGTCCGGGGTGTCCCCATTGTTTTCTGAGAAATGGGTGAATGGGTGGTGTAAATTAATTAATTCATCCACTCCTGTAAATGATGTGATGAAATGTACTGGTTCCCTGGGTACCAGTGTACATTATGTTACACGGTACAGTATATTGGAAGAAATGCACGGTCTTAATCATTCATAACTATAAAAAAGTTTGTTTTAAAAATCAATTTTCTCATTCAGCAATTACACAGTATA